AGCTCCTTCTATTGAGGGAGTCTGACCACCTTCTGTTAATAAGGTTTGCAATCTGGAGATCCTGTTGGAGCCACAGCTGCTTCAGTATGCTCAGATAGGAGCAGTGGCCACGATTTGCACGTTGAGAAAGTTTCAGATTTTTCTTTTGTATACAGACCTTGCTCCAGTGCTCCTGGCCTTTGTCACTTTGAGATGAGGCTATTTCAATGCATTGTACATAGGGCTGTTGCCTTTACTCACATCCTTTTCTTATGCAGAATGTGCCAGCCCATTTGTTACAGGGTGTTTTGCATAAACAGCATATGAATCCTATACTTTGTAATCTGCAATGGTTTCTGATTCATTTCCAGGGGCAATTTAAGGTGTTGGTTATATCCTACACTATAAACTTAAATGGTTTGAGTCCTGGGTCACCTCAGAGTCATTTCTCACTGTACCATAACCACAGCCATTAAGAGGACCTGAAGTCCTTGATCTAAAAACTCCTGGTCTTGAGGGAGCTGGACACAGAGCATTTTCAGTGAGGGGTTCTCAGTGGAATACATTTTCTGCTTTACCTTGTCTAACCCTGATTTTGTTGAATTTCATGTTATGCTGCAAGGTCCATTTATTGTCTTCCCAGGCTTTTCCTAAAAGTGAGGAAAGGAAGAGGAGGGGCATCAGTAGGAGAGTTCTGGTTTTGGAGACCTCCAGAACATCTGAGAGGTCTCAGTTATTTAGACATGGGTTGTATAATGTTGCACTTTTGTGTGCTTGTGCCCAGAGCATGATTTGGGTGTACTTAAAAACCCTAAATAGATATAAAAAATTAAGTTAAATTCTGTCAAGAAACATGTATGTCCAGCTCCACATGACATCAAGTGTATTTAAACCAGGGAGCGACGTGGGCCTAGGGATGTGCTGGCCGCCGCTTCCCACAGCCCCCATTGACCTGGAACAGTGAACCGTGGCCAGTGGAAGCTGCGATCGGCCGAACCTGCGGATGCGGCAGGTAAACAAACCAGCCCAGCCTGCCAGGAGGCTTACCCTGGTGGGCCTCTGGCCAAAGGTTGCCGATCCCTGATTTAAACACTCTTATCTGAGAGATTGCTTTGGTCCTTGATTATTGTATTTGTGTGTTTAAAAGAATACGAGTATGAATGCAAGCTAAAGAGAAATTCAAAGCAGAATGAAGATATATATGCATTTAAAAAGTGATCATAACTTATGGTTTCCATGATTGGCCCAGTCAATGGACACCTTTTTTGCACAATGAGTTGATTTAATCAGTATGTTCTTAGACCCATTTCAAGTGTGCCTGGTGATATTTCTTAAGTTCTTTTTTTACTAATGTGAACAAGCATAGTTAAAAATAAACCTAAAGATAACCCTCAAGATAAAATTACTTGCTTGTTCTTTACCAGGCTGATTATCTGTGCCACACAGAACATTGTATGGTACTAATAATCATTAGGGGTGTGTGCAGTAATTTAATTTTGACTCCTTGTGGAAGGGCATGCTCCCCCCACCCACCATCCTGGCAGGAGGTCACTCTTCCTTCCCCCCACCTTGGCCCAGCAGGAAGTTGCTTGTCCTTCCCCTGCCCCGCAGCTCCCAGGGCTGGGAGGAGTTCTGTGCCCCCAGTGTTTGTGGAGGGTCATGCCCCTGCTTACCCCACCTTGTGCACACTGCTGCTTATCTAGTGCCACAAATTTACAGAGCACTTCACAAACAAAAAAGATATGATAGTAACAATAAAAGCGTTGGTATCCAATAAATGGTGGGAAAATGCACGTGGGTTGTTTTTAGTTTTTATAAAACATTTCTTTGAATAATGTGATAAAATGTAATACTCCAGGGAATAGTAATTGTTTATATAGGGGTTTTTTTAATGTACTCATTTAATAATCCTAATATAGTTAAGTTGATTTGATCATGTATACACATGATCACCAGAGTAGTCAGTTTTATCTGAATTTAGCCATTTTTGCATGAAAATTGTTTTAGTCCACCCTGGCAAACATTACTACAGCAAAAATTTTAGAGTCAATAGTATGTTTTTATTGAACTCTTCATTTTAGGTTAAAGAGATTAATTTATATAAATATACAAAATATAAAAGTCAGACTATTACTTGCCCACATAAACTTTAATAGCTTTCTGCAAAACAATTTCAGTTGCCAACTATATTTTAGGAATTGGCATTGGTATGCTTTTATAAGAGCATGCCCGTAGCAATAGCAGTATTTCGTGTTGTTCGCATGATTTTCAATTAAGTTCCACAGGATCACATATTTCATGTGATTAATGATTTGTCTATTTGAAGTTTTAGATCAATAGTGTAATACAGATCAGGATCTATGCTCTGACGTTTCCTTCCCTTTTCGTTTGGAAATTCAGCAAGCTATCAGGACAAAATTCTCTTCCAACAGTTATGTCTGTTCAGTTACAAAGAAGACAATCAGCATTTTCCAAGATGTTAACAGATTAATTTTTAATTCTGCCTTAAACTTCTTAAATAACTGATTAACTTTTTCCTCAGAGCTTAACTTCAGAAATGTTACCTGTCAGCTCTGTGTTCTTGGGGAACCAGGGTGCAGTACCCAGCCTGTCTGACTCAAAAGACCTCCCCCTTCTTCCCTGCCTCTGCTCGAACCAAAGCTGATCAGAAGAAAGACTTACAAAAAGCAATGAAAAGGCAGCGGGAGACACACTTAAACCCCTAGGATAAGAGTGACAGGATTAAGGAAACTCCCCTAGCCTCATCTGCATCAAAGATGGGACAGGGGGCATCTCCATTAACATACAGAATGGAGAATAGAGATTCCAAGGCAAGAACCGCATGGAACTCTGGGACCAGAAAAGCAAGGAAGCACTGCATGATGGGGGATCTCTGCTTCAGATGTTAATGAACCCATGCCTGCACACACCCAGCTCAGTAGTTATCAGACCAATTCTACTAATAAATCCTTTATTAGTATCCTAAATAGTGAAGCTCCCTAATTGCATTGTGAGCTCCCTCCAAGGAACACTGCCCATAGGCAGGAATGATCAGTTCCTATTGTCTAGCCTGAACAAAACAACTTTGGTATACTCCCTTGAGCCATCAGTTTACCCATAAACAAGTCTAGTGTTCTCCTTTGAACCATTGTTGTTTCCCTACAAAAACCCCTACCAGTGCTCAAGTAAGTGCTCTGATGCTGGATCCAAAATCTGTATCAGTTCCATTGGGACTTCATCTTCTCCTGACTGATCGTGCTGGGGGTTCTGCCTGTCTCCAGCACTCCGGACCCACAGCTACCACCACGAAGGGAACCCAGATCGATTCAAGCTTCACGGAGTGGTGAGAACCCATCTCTCTCTCTCTCTCTCTCTCTAGATACAGCCTTCTGACCCTGACCTGTTTGATCAGTTATAGTTTTCTAAACCTGACTTTTATAATCAAATTTAAGTTAGATTTAATATTATAAGTGTTTTGTTTGTTTGGTTCCCCTATGGTTATTACCTGGCAATAAATAACTTTTATGGTTAAGCTGGTTGCTTCTCTCTCTCTCTCCCTTGTGAGTGGCTTTTCTGGCTTCCTCATTCACTCTGCAGCAACGCTCCTCATACCTAAGTGAAAGATTCCTGCAGTGCCCAAAAATCCTGTAGGGTTTGCTCATCAAGTGGGTTACTACCAGAACAATTGTAATGTGAAATTGGGGATAGGGACATGGTGAACCTGGGACATAGGAGGGTGGCAGCTTGGAAATGCTGCTTGACCCAGCCTACTGAGTCCAACGACATATACGGATCAGCTTGGGAGTGCGGATTAACCCGGTTTTGTGTGAGTGAGTGAGTGAGACAGAGAGAGATTCTGAAGCTGGAAGAACCCTGCCCTGGGGAACCTAGGTCTTGCAGGATAGCTCCATTGGGAGGGAACTGGGAGAAGCAGAGCGCTGTATGAGAACACAAATGACACAAGAAGTACATTGATAGAATTACAGAACACCCCCCACCCCAAAAAAAAAAAAAAGTAACCCTAACAAATGTGTGTCCGAAAGTAACGGGCAAATCTGGTAACAGAAATGAAGGCACAAAATAGGATTATTTCCTACCACTTTTCACAAATACTTAATACAGGACACAGTTCTTGTTACCATGAACTCAGTGAAATTACTTACAACAGGTAAAAATCGCCGTTAAATAGAGGATCAGCATCAAAGCTTATGAGCCAATTAAGTTCCACTTAAGGCCTTAGAATGCAGTTTGGGATTTAAATGGAGCATAAGACTTGTGCAGGCCTGCAGTGAATATCAGTCAGATGACAGTATATTCTGCACTCAGCAGAAAGGGCTAGATGCACAAAGATTTATTTAGGTAACACCTAACCCCCAGGCACCCTGCCACCAAAAAGAATCCACAGCCTTGAATTAGGCACCCAGGATGCTTGGGGGGAGTTAGGCACCTAAGGAAGGGTCCTCAGAAGCCAGTTAGCTGAGCAGGGAGCTGCCTAACCTCGCCAGGAGTGAAATACAGAGAAAAGGGGCAGGATGTATTTAGATCTAGCTCCCACTGGTCTGGTCCTCTAGGCGCCTGACTGACATGCCAGAGGGAGGCACTTCCCTCTGCTCAGAATTCCAGGAGAAGGTTCATGGCTGAGAGTTAGGCACCAAAGCCAGGTCAGCTGCCGAGACAGAGGCCTGCTAGGGCATGGGCTCTCATGAAAAGCTAGAGAAAGCCCCAATTATAGCCAATAATCCAATGGTCAGCAGTACCGGATTTACCATGGTGCCAGGCCCAAGGTCCAAAGGGGGCATGACCCACTCTTCTCCGCCCCCCGCTCTCTCCTGTGGGGGCAGAAGCTTGCCAGAGCAGGGCAGGCTCCACCAGCAGCCAAGCTCCTCCCCTGCCTCTTCCCACAGCGTGCTACGTTCCCTCCCCTCCTCCTCTCCCTGCTGCCGATCAGCTGTTTGCCGAGGGGAAGAGCGGAGCCTCAGCATGCTCGCTGCTCCAGGGAGGAGGTGGAGAAGAGGCAGGGGTGGGGACTTGCGGAAGGGACTGGAATCGGGGCATACCCCCTCCAGCCCCCTTCCATGAGCACCCCCATGACCCCAGCCAACACCCCCAGCCCTCTGCCCATCCTGACCCTTGCACCCCCTCACGCCTCCCCAGCCCCCTGCCCTGACTCCTGCAACCCCCCGCACATAACCAGCCCTCCCTGTGTCCTGACTCCTGCACCCCTCCACATCCCCATCCCCATCCTGAGCACCAAACGGGAGCTCCTGCACCCCCCCTCGTCTCACCAAACAGGAGCTGCCCCAGGTAAGCGATCCACACCCCAACCTCCTGAGACCCCTCCCTCACCCTAGCTCCTGGCCAGACCCCGCACCGCAATGTTTTTTTTACAATATTTGGAAAGATCATTATGTGGTCCGTCGAGACCCTCTGCGATTTTCAAGTAGTCTGTGGAAAAATAAGTTAGATTACAAAAACAATCAAGGTACCTCACTTTATTTTCATTTACTTGCTATTACTTATAGGAGGAGAATGAAGAAAAAAAAAGAACGAAAAACGGGGGGCGGGAGGAGATAAGAGAAAATGTTCTTTTTCTTGGCTGGGTCCCAAGGAGAGGCCCCAAAAATGAAGCTGAGCACAGGGACGGGGGGCACCACTAACTCTAAATCCACCACTGGCTGTCACATCACCTGGGCTGGGGATACTGTGTCGACTGATCCCCACAGTCTCCAACCTACCTGGGCAGTACAGCAGATATGGCCCTGTGGGAGGAGGGGCAGCTCCGTGCAGAGAGAGACAAAGAGAATGGGCTAGAACCAGGTAGGTACCCGCTCTATGTGGGCAGGGGCGGGGGGGATTCTGTTTATCCCCTCCCCAGCCCTGCTGTGCTTGCAGTTTACCCCTGGCCCCTCCCTTGCTCCAGGGAGCAACCCAAGCTGCCACCCCACTGTGCTTTTGACCCCAGCCCCTTTTACAATCATTCCCCAGAGGGGCCCACAAATATGTTTGGCGCCGGGCCCACAAAAAGTTAGTCTGGCCCTGGTGGCCAGGGCACTCCCCTGAAGGGTGGGAGATGTGGTTTCAAATCCCTGATCTGCCTGCTTTGGAGCAGAGACTTGAATTCACATCTACCATCACCCAGGTAAGTGTCCAAGCCACCAGACTACGGGGTATTGTAGGGTGGGAGGTCACTCTCTCTTGTTGGAGCTGTTCTACTTCGTATAAATAATTAAATATTCATTAGGCCAGAGAGAGAGAAAATGACTCTAGTCCAGTGGTTAGGGCATTCAGGTGGGATGTGGGAGAGACAGAGAGACCTAACCCCAAAACACTCAATAGTCTAGTGGGCTAGGGCACTGACTGGGAGGTCGAAGACGTGAATAAAAGTCCCTGCTCCAAATCAGGCAGAGCAGGGATTTGAATTTGGGCCACCTACATTCATAGATTACAAGGACAGAAGGGCCCATTGTCATCTCCTGCTCTGACCTCCTGTATAAGACAGGCCATAGGACTTCCCCAAAATAATTCTTGTTTGAACTAGAGCAGACGTTTTAGAAAAATGTCCAGTCTTGATTTTAAAATGGTCAGTGATGGAGAATCCACCACAACCCTTGGTAAATTGTTCTAATCGTTAAGTATCCTCATGGTTAAAAATGTACACCTTATTTCCAGTCTGAATTTGTCTAGCTTCAACTTCCAGCCAGTGGATCGTGCTATACCTTTCTCTGCTAGATTGAAGAGCACATTATTAAATATTTGTTCTCCATGTAGTTACCTATATATACATCCCAAGTGAGTGCCTTACCCAGTAGGCCACCAGATGCGCACAATTGCCCCCACCTCGGTTTTGTGACAAATATAATATTTTAGGTAGGCTTTGAGAATGCCTATGGGATTGGGCCCCACTGGAGAGAGAGAGGCGAGGGAACACCTCGTTTAAGAATCCCTCTTTGGACGGCAGGGGCTTCATCTTCATCTTTCTAAGCCCTTGTTACATGTGGGGCAGTATCAGCACTTAGGTGGCTTTGCACATGCCTACTGGCCGAAACTTTTACACCTATGGGACTTGGGCATCTCTGGGGTTAGGTGGCAGCTGAGCAGTGATTTTGAGAAGGTCAGAATTGCATAAATGGTTGATTTAGGCACCTAAAGGAGCAGTTAGACACATAATACCTTTGTGGATCTGGCCCTAAGTGTTTACAGGACTGGGCTCCAGTAAGTTGTCATCTGGCTGTGGAAAGGGGTAGTAAGGCATTTCTAGTTGTTTTAAGTTCAGCTTAGTTATAAACAGTAAATGCAACATCTCTTGTTCATGATAACTGGTTAGATAAGTATGGAAACTAGTGAGGCAGCACCCGTGCCTTCAGCGTCTATACTGACTACTTCACTAGAGAATGGACAACCATTAAGGTAGAATAGCTTGTTGCTTTGGGGAAAAAAGACAGCTCAGGTCCTGAAGATACATCTTCATTCGTTCTCTCAAGCCCCTGCAAGAATCAATATAGTCCCTAAGAAAAGGTGAAAACCTAATAGTTTTGTATGGCCTAGGTAGATCAGTAACATAATATTTATCCCTGGGGATCTATTCAGTGATGGCATATTTAAATAGTCTCCTCTATTCCATTAGCATTCTAATGCGGAAGAATATGCATAATTTTTAAAGGTATACTTATCTTATGGCACATAGCCGATTACTGTATTATCTGACAGTGAGGCGGAATTGGATTCTTCCTGTCTAAATTTACTCATCCTCATTGTTAGAACAATCTGTTACAGGATGTCATTTAGTATTCAGTGGCAATGCTGTCTGTCATCTCTTTAAAAGTAGGTATATTAATAAATACTTTCCATTTGTACTTGGAGTCTGGCAGGTTAATCTATTCATAAGTCAAGAAGCAATCCATTCTCACAGTTTAATTCTGTGTACAGATTTTTTATCTTCCAAAATACAAAGGTGCAAACACAATGCCTGCCCCAAAGACTTTACAATCTTAAAGACAGAGCTACCAGTTCAACTACTGCTGACAAGTGAATTTATTTTAGACTCTTTTAAAATGTATTTTTCAAATAATAGTTGATCCCTTTAAAAGTGTTTTGCTACATCTGCTAACGGGTACTGAACAATTTGGACTCTGCACTTTTTTCTAGGGTTGTTAAGTTTCCAATTAACTAAAAATTAAGCATTAACTAGAATACCAGAAATGAGAAAAAATATAAAAAAATGAAGTTCATTTTTAAAATTAAAAATTAATTTATTGATTTGTAACATCCATCACTAATTATCTAAAAGAAAAAAAAATCACACTTTTTGTTTGTCTCTAAATGTCTATGGTGCCTGGGTCTTTAAGGCAAGCAAACATGAAAAATGTCTTGTCCCCATATTAACTTTCTGCAACACTTGTTCAAGTGTAATTTGCTTGTGTTGTACCTATTGCTTACCCAGATGACTGAAGTACTCTCCACATACCACACAGTGACATTGCTAATTGTCCAGGATATAGTGAAAGTCAAGAAGCATGTTAGGGATACAGATTTTAGCTTTGATATTTTGTTTTGGTGGAATAGGAGCTGTTATTGCTGCCACTGCGTCAAATGAGTGGAAAGTAACCAGCAGAGCAACATCAGTTATCACTGCAACTTGGGTTTTCCAGGGTCTTTGGATGAACTGCGCAGGAAATGCACTGGGTGCTTTTCATTGCAGACCTCATTTTACCATCTTCAGACTAGAAGGTAAGTAGAGGTAATTTTACTCGAACTATGACAGTGCATGAAGAACTACATCAGTACAGGGTGATTAAGTAACATTTACAAATAACTCTGAGAATTTCAAGATGTGAGCCTCAGGAGGAAGATAATGATTTTGGTTTGTACAACAGGGTATAACTAGAAACAAGGGTATAAATTTAACAAAAGGAAAATATAAAATTAATATTGGAAATAATTTCCTGACAGTAACATGCATTCCTCTCCTGAGGAAAGACGTAATTCCACTATGTAAGACATTATAAAAAAAAACAAAACACTCCATACTGGACAGAATTCTGGCAAATATACTTTTGGTAACAAACTTCTCTTGGCAGAGGTGGACTAGACTCCCTTGTAGAAATTGGAGATGATAAATGTCTATGTGAAACTAAATATACTGCTGACAGGAGAGGGTAAGTTATGACAGGATCTCTGACACGAATCAGAACTTCTTACAATAATTAGGGGCCTGGTCCAATGGTGCATTTGTATATATTCTTCACTATAAGCACATGAGTGTAATGGAACTACGGACATGCTTAGAGCTAAGCACCTATGTACGTGTTTCCAGGATTGGGGATGACATTTTACATTTTAAGTTATAAAGCAGGATATTGTCGAAGGTGAGTTAGAGAGAGAGAGAGAGAGAGAGAGACAGATGTATTGTACATCATCTATTGATTTGTAAAAAAGTAAATGTCGGCTGCTCAACTACTGAGTGAAGATGGGGGGGGTTCTCTGTATAGAACAGCATATGGAGAAGCATTTGGTTTAAAATATATGTAGTACTAGTTAAACTTTGAGACACTAAACCATAAAGTCCTTTCTAGAATTTGCATAGTAGAACTACTCAGCTACCAGCAGTCATGCTCCTTCTTTCCCTTGAGGACAAGGGCAAAGGAATTTGCTGAAGCTGGGCTCTCCTGGATGACTGGGGCAAATGAACAAGGTGGAGTAGGTCCACCATAATCCAGTGCGTGGTGGGGGACGGTACTAAAAGAAGACACCTGTCATAAATATAAAGGGAAGGGTAAACCCCTTTGAAATCCCTCCTGGCCAGAGGAAAGCTCCTCTCACCTGTAAAGGGTTAAGAAGCTAAAGGTAACCTCGCTGGCACCTGACCAAAATGACCAATGAGGAGACAAGATACTTTCAAAAGCTGGGAGGAGGGAGAGAAACAAAGGGTGTGTGTGTCTGTCTATAGTCTGTCTATATGCTGGTCTTTACCGGGGATAGACCAGGAATGGAGTCTTAGAACTTTTAGTAAGTAATCTAGCTAGGTATGTGTTAGATTATGATTTCTTTAAATGGCTGAGAAAAGAATTGTGCTGAATAGAATAACTATTTCTGTCTGTGTATCTTTTTTGTAACTTAAGGTTTTGCCTAGAGGGGTTCTCTATGTTTTTGAATCTAATTACCCTGTAAGATATCTACCGTCCTGATTTTACAGGGGGGATTTCTTTATTTCTATTTACTTCTATTTTTATTAAAAGTCTTCTTGTAAGAAAACTGAATGCTTTTTCATTGTTCTCAGATCCAAGGGTTTGGGTCTGTGGTCACCTATGCAAATTGGTGAGGCTTTTTATCCAACATTTCCCAGGAAAGGGGGGATGCAAGTGTTGGGAGGATTGTTCATTGTTCTTAAGATCCAAGGGTCTGGGTCTGTAGTCACCTAGGCAAATTGGTGAGGCTTTTACCAAACCTTGTCCAGGAAGTGGGGTGCAAGGTTTTGGGAAGTATTTTGGGGGGAAAGACGCGTCCAAACAGCTCTCCCCCAGTAACCAGTATTAGTTTGGTGGTGGTAGCGGCCAATCCAAGGACGACGGGTGGAATATTTTGTACTTTGGGGAAGTTTTGACCTAAGCTGGTAAAGATAAGCTTAGGAGGTTTTTCATGCAGGTCCCCACATCTGTACCCTAGAGTTCAGAGTGGGGGAGGAACCTTGACATGGTGGCATAGTGGTGGGATTAACCTGAAATCATTTTGAGATCCAGTTGAGATTTTTTTGAACTAGAAATACAGATTTTAAAAAGGAAATTTTTTTTCCTTTGGAAAGGAAGTCCAGAAAGCAGCTGAAACTGAGAGCAGCTTGTTTTTTCTCTGCTTTGTGGCCAAGCAGAGACAAAAGGGGATTATCTTTGTGAATTGCAGGTTTTCTTTGCCTGGAGACAGGGTACTTAACTCCTGCAGGGAAATTCACAGTCTTCCAACCCAGAGTTTTTTTTTCTTTTCTTCCTAAAAGTAAATAGGGGGTGTGTGTTCTACCCATTTGCTTTTTCTTTGGGCTGGATAAGCAGGTTTCCAAGTAGTTGGAAGTTTTTTGCTTTAATTTGGGCCCAGAGCAGAGACAAGGGAATTGTCTTTTTCTGTAGGCTGACAGTCACTATCAGAGAATAGGTATTCTATTCCAGCACAGCAAAATTTTACAGCCAAGTTTTGTTTGTTTATTTCTAAACCTCGGGTGTAAAGTTAGTTAAAAACAGAGAGGTTAGAATGACCAAATCCACAGCTCGACTACAGCTGGAATTAGCCAAATTTCAGGCTGAGGAAAAACAAAGGGAACATGAAAGACAGATAGAACTCATGCGGCTAGAGAAGGAGGTACAGGAGGCTGCCCACAAGAGGGAAATGGAGGCAAGGAAGCATGTGGAGGAGGAGAGGGAAAAAGAGAGGAAGCATGTGGAGGAGGAGAAGGAAAAAGAGAGGAAGCATGTGGAGGAGGTGGAGAGGATAAAGGCCCGGCAGAATATACCAACAAACCCTAGCAATCCTTCTCCAGGTACCACTTCCCATCCCAGAAAGTTCCCCACCTACAAGGCAGGTGATGATACTGAGGCCTTCTTAGAAAACTTCGAAAGGGCCTGCCTTGGGTACGACATCTCTACTGACCAATACATGGTAGAGCTGAGGCCGCAGCTCAGTGGACCCTTAGCTGAGGTGGCAGCTGAAATGCCTAAAGAACACATGAACAAGTATGAACTGTTTAAATCCAAGGCGAGAGTCAGAATGGGGATAACACCCGAGCAGTCTCGTCGGAGGTTCAGAGCCCTAAGGTGGAAACCAGACGTGTCATTTACCCGACATGCCTACCACATTGTGAAACATTGGGATGCCTGGATATCAGGAGCAAGTGTTGAATCTCCAGTAAATTTGCCCTTCCTAATGCAAATGGAACAATTCTTAGAGGGTGTTCCTGAGGAAATAGAAAGATACATCCTAGATGGGAAACCCAAAACTGTAATCGAGGCAGGAGAGATTGGAGCCAGATGGGTGGAGGTGGCAGAGAAGAAGAAAACTGGTCGCAGTTGGAGCGGAGACCAGAAGGGACCACCCCAGACCACACCCTATTACCGGGGGCCGCCCAAAGCCCCACCTACCTCCCAAAGAACCCTCCAGACCCCTTATCGTCCCACCACCCCGTTCTCCAGCAACCCTCCTCGCCCCAGTGACCCGTCAGCTGGACGATGTTTTAAATGTAACGAGCTGGGGCATGTAAAGGCCAACTGCCCCAAGAACCCCAACAGATTACAGTTCATTGCACCGGAATCACACCAGAGGTCCACAGGCCCAGATACCTCCCAGATACCCTTGGAGCGGAGGGAAACTGTGAGTGTGGGCGGGAAGAAGGTCACCGCGTGGAGGGACACCGGAGCACAAGTGTCAGCTATCCATGCTTCCTTAGTGGACCCCAATTTAATCAACCCAGAGATCCAAGTGACGATTCAACCCTTCAAGTCCAACTCTTTCAATTTGCCTACAGCCAAGTTGCCTGTCCAGTACAAGGGCTGGTCAGGAACATGGACTTTTGCAGTCTATGATGATTATCCCATCCCCATGCTGTTGGGAGAAGACTTGGCCAATCATGTGAAGCAGGCCAAGAGGGTGGGAACAGTCACCCGCAGCCAGGCTAAACAAGCCGTGAGGCCTAGCTCTGTTCCGGAAACTTCTATCAGGACCCGGTCAGAGGTGATGGACCCAGACCCCAGGCCAATGTCTGCAACAGCAGTAGTGGATCCAGTCCCAGAGACCCAGACGGAACCAGTCCCAGAACCGGAACCAGCCGAACAACCAACACCAGACCCCGTGTCAGCACTGAATCCAGTACTTGCAACCTCAACACCAGAGGGCCCCACCGAACCTGAACTGGCAGCAGCCGATAACCCTACACAAGAGGCTCAGCCGGAGCCTGAATCCCAACATAGTGCACCAGCGGAGAGCGGTTCACAGTCAACAGAAACAGCTCCATCCCCTATATCGCTTCCAGAGGGACCAAGCCTAGGTCCACAATCCCATGAGGGACTGATGTCTCCAGCATCAAGGGAACAGTTCCAGACCGAACAGGAAGCAGATGAAAGCCTCCAGAGAGCTTGGACGGCGGCACGGAGCAACCCACCGCCTCTCAGCTCTTCTAATCGATCCAGGTTTGTTGTAGAAAGAGGACTTTTATACAAGGAAACTCTTTCTGGTGGACACCAGGAAGACTGGCATCCTCAGAGACAGTTGGTAGTTCCAACTAAATACCGGGCCAAGCTCTTGAGCTTAGCCCATGATCACCCTAGTGGCCATGCTGGGGTGAACAGGACCAAAGACCATTTGGGGGGGGTCATTCCACTGGGAGGGAATGGGCAAGGATGTTTCTACCTATGTCCAGTCTTGTGAGGTGTGCCAAAGAGTGGGAAAACCCCAAGACCAGGTCAAAGCCCCTCTCCAGCCACTCCCCATCATTGAAGTTCCATTTCAGCAAGTAGCTGTGGATATTCTGGGTCCTTTTCCGAAAAAGACAGCCAGAGGAAAGCAGTACATACTGACTTTCATGGATTTTGCCACCCGATGGCCGGAAGCAGTAGCTCTAAGCAACACCAGGGCTAAAAGTGTGTGCCAGGCACTAGCAGACATTTTTGCCAGAGTAGGTTGGCCCTCCGACATCCTCACAGATGCAGGGACTAATTTCCTGGCAGGAACTATGGAAAACCTTTGGGAAGCTC